ACAGAGATATTGCTCTCTACTACCGAAAAGACGCTCTCTCAATTTTCGCATAATAAACTCGTTCTTCTTTTTTAGATGATGTTTATCTATGTCGTTAATTGTATGTTTGTCAATCCATAGTCGGAAAGCTTCGAGTTGCTAGGCAAAGTACGGCTTCAATAGAGACAGTCTTGGACATCACACGAGCCACAAAATGACAAAAAAATTTCTGTCGAAAACCCACCGAAAGTGGTAATCAATAGTCCTGATCACGATTCTGGCATTTCTAGCGTCAACGCAGTTCAGCGCTAGAATAGCTCAGAAGGTCCCTTACATGAGCATACATAACGAATTCAGTGGAGGAAGGATTTTACCGAGAAACGATGCTACTTCACGAGTAACATGAATTGGATGCTTCACTGTTTCTTTCTGATTGGGCTCGCCTCAACAAATATTTTTTTACCTTGTACTCCTGAATTGCTTGAGGCTAGAGCGGGCAGAGCTCAGACGCACTAGCTGAACTGCATGGTCTCTCTATGCTTTGCTTGTTGGTTTGCATGCTCTCTCGCTGTCTTGTCGAACCTTTGACGACGGCCCTTACAATTCTTCTCTTCAAACTTGGAGAATGGGTACCTTCTGAAAACTTTTACACTTTTACAATTCCGCTCCCTACCAGCTTTTCGGCGGATCACCACGAGCTCTGCATTTAGCAATTGCGTTTGGTTTTCACACGCTTACTGACTGAGCGTTTCTTTGTATTTTCATTTCATGCTGAATTTCAACAGCAAATGTAGGTTCACACCCGTGGATATTTGCCTAATCAAAGAGACATGAGGTTGAAATATGTAATGAACTGGAGTAAAAACGTGTATTATAAACTAAGTACATATACTCAGCCAGCACAGTGGTAGCATTTGTCCATATTTGGCCTGAAAATAAACTGAAAGTACTAATCAGTAGGTTCACAGAAGTGATTAGAGCTCATTTGTTTACATTAATCGATGGTATGCGAAATACCTGAAGTCATCCAAGATATAAGTAACTCAGCAGCTTTTCTCTGTTCCGAAATCTTTGCCAGGTAACTTTAATTGCTGTAACACGTGACGATATCGTTCTGTTGACATGCGTCTTGACTGTTATCACGATTTCCATCATTCACGGAGCAAGAATCAATCTTTGGAAATGTTTAGGGAACAAACAAGTTGTACTCGGTTATCAAGACAATTCTCGCAATTGCATATCTGTGGTAGTGGCATTCAATGGCGAAGCTATAGTGGTCACGCCACTTTTCAATCAAATATTATTATCAATTGAATAAAAAGTCAAAAAGTCTCGTGGATACCCTGGATGAGGACCCTACGGTAGCCCCACTGACGAGCCCCTTGAAAATGTTCCTTTCATGACAGCAAAGTGATATTATGCTTCCTCCTCCCCCTTGATAACTAGTCGTCTCTTCGTGTCACAGATGGATACCACCTTGACACGATAAAAACTAGCGAGAAACTCGACTGTTGAGATTCGGAAAACATCTGACGAACTGTTGCAATTACATCGTCAGTGAATTGAACGCGTCTTACCTTGCGAGATGGATTTTTGACTAAGTGTCCCTTTGTGAAAAAGTAGTAATGAAGCGCAGAAT